TGTTTTTGTGGACGAACATTACAACTCGATGAGAACGCAAAGTCAGTCTAGTGACCGTTGTGGCCACAGTGGCATTGACCGTGTGTTGCTGAAAGAAGTCAAAAACACAAAGAATGACCTCACATACAGATGATGAATTGTACAGTTTTTGTACAGTTTCCACTTCCTGATTTCTTACATGTTTCAGATCATCGAACAGATTTTAATATTAGACAAAAATAACCCGAGTAAATACAAAATGCTGTTTTTAATGATGAGTTCATTGATAAAGCGAAAAAGGCTTTCCAAACCTGACCCTGTGCAAAAAGTAATTACATGAATCTAAATCATGAATTATCAGTGATTAACCACAATTTAAAAAAAAAGTTGATATCAATTTCACCAGCAACACAAAGGCCTGATCACTACCAGACCTGTTGAATCAAGAAATCAGTTAAATAGAACCTGTCTGACAATGTGAATTAGCCTAAAAAAAACTACACTTCATGAGTGGTCTAAAAAACAGCTGAGAAACCAAGTCACTGACATCCATAAGTCTGGAAAAGGTTACAAAACCATTTCTAAGGCCTTGAACTCCAGTGAGAGTCATTATTCACAAATGGACAAAACAGCGGTGAACCTCCCGAGGAGTGGCCAGCCTCATCCAGGAGGTCACAAAAGAACCCAGAACGACATTAAAGAACTGCAGGCATCACTTGGCTCAGTTACAGGTAGTGTTCACGATTCAACAATATGAAACAGACTGGAGAAAAATGACATCCATGAGAGAGATCTAAGGAGAAAACACCTGCTGACCAAAAAGAAGACAAAGGCTCATCTCACATTTGTCAATAAACATCTTAATGATCCTCAAGACTTTTGAGAAAATATTCTGTGACCTGACAAGACAAAAGTTCCAATTTACTTAAATTCAATTGAGATGGTCTGTATGACCTTAGGCCTGCCATTCATACTCTACAACTACTTTTTCACACAGGGATAGGGTTAGGCTTGGAAAGCTGTTAATGAACGAGACCATCATTGAAAACCTGCAATTTGTATTTATTCGGGTTTTCTTTGTCTAATGTGAAAATTTGTTTGATGATCTGAAACATGTAAATATGACAAATATACAAAAAAAGCCGTTTGTTCATCCCCCGAAACAGGATTATAAAAAATCTGAAAACATCTGGACTTCTTGAAACGTTTGCTTTCTGACATTTTTTTTCTTGTATTTCCTTGTGTATGACGTCACTGAGAGTGGATATCCCTAATATGGTCATCTCAGGCAAACAGAAGAAGCCCCGCCTACCTGCTTTTTGTCTTTGTCTGATTGGGAACCCAATCGGAAGAAAGAGTGAAATTGTAAATCATCCAAAAACACTGTTGTCACTGCTTTTGTAACTATATAAAAATATAGAATATTTTGTAAATAAAGCCATAATGCTAATAGTAACAGTAAATCACCCCCAACAAACCCTCCTCTAACCTCCTGAGAGAGCTGAAAACAAACTTAAGAATTTACTTGATCAAACACATCCCACCGCATTACTCCTAAGAGTTGTGCTTTGCACTGGGTCTTGAAGCTTGGCTCTAAGGGAAAACTGACAGCTGAATAACTAAGCTTCGTGTTTTCAGTAGAGGTCTCGCATGATTTTAAGTGGAAAAATGGGATGTTTGATTTTCAAATGTGTTGTTAATTTACAGAATGCAAAAACAGCCTTTTTGTCAATTTCATAGTTTCATATTCAAAATAAAATCCTCACACACGGAGAGCCAAGAACTAGGTGTCGTGTCTGTGCCAGCGTCAAACTGAATGAATACTTATGAATATGCCCACACCACCAGAGGGGATGGACTAAATCGTAATTCTCATTCTGTGGCTTGGAAAAAAAACCTTCTGCCTTCCCGGGTGCCAACGGCTCTGAGGCGATCCCAGTGATGAGCCAGGGAACGCTCTGCTAACTGAGCTCTGGAGAAATACGGTCACGGCAAGATCCGTATTCAAATAAACTTCACTCTTGGCCCGAGCACACAAGCCATGTTGTCACCAGCTGGCAGCGCCTCTCACTGCCCCTTCAAACACTGAGCCACTTTTGATTAACGTCTCTACGGCTAATCATGCGCGCCGGCTCTGCCAAATTGGACGAGCCACGTATGGCCTCCATTTTGCCCTGAAATCTCTTATTTTCTTAAACTCATTCGAAGCATTTCAGAAACTCCCTTTACACCGCCCACGTTTTGTCTTCTTGTGCCTCATGTCCATGCATAGAACAGAAAGGGTAGCGTGGCGGCACAGTGCCATCCTGTGAGTCTGTGAATGAGAGTCCTATCACTGCCAGATGTGCCCAGCTGCATAAATGTTATTCATTTTTATGGTTTGTGTACATAATACGGCCAGTGTTGGAGATTGTGAGGTTCCACTAAAGGCTGGAAAAATCCTCCAAGTTGAATCAAAGTGGAAAACTTATTTTGCCCGGTGGCTGCTCTGGACCTCCTTCTTTTCCATCTCCTCTAATTCTTTTCTTCTCCTCCCTGTCTCATATTGTGCACTTTGAGGTTCCTCTGTGACCGATTCAAGTATCCTCTTTCTTCTGGGCTGCATTACTTGGTCTGCTTGCCTAGCAATGGTAGCTGCGCTGTGAGACAGCTGGAATATTTGTCATAGGTCCAGAGGTGAAAAGACATTAGACAGCACTTTGTCACCAGGGCCTGGAATTCACACCATTTGGCTGTTTCCAAGTCAGCTCCTTAACCACTGACTGGCCTGGTTTTTGTCAGCTGCCGCTCTGTTGACACAGAGAGCTAAAAAAAGACGGGAACATGGAAGGATGCATGCGGCTAGCCTTTTTAGGTGGTCAAAACAACACGCATTCTAGAAAGAGTGCTGCGACAAGGATTCGCTGCCAAAGCCCTTGACTTGTGCGCTCTCCCTAAATTCGCAGTTCAGATATAGCTTAGTGGTTCAGAATGGCTCTCATCAGGGTTTTCTAACCCCCGCAGAGATGGACTTGAACTCTGAGCAAAGCTGCGGTCTCTCAAATCATGAGGCCCAGTGGAGGCCCCAGCAAATGTGATCACGGAGGGGGCCCCAGGTCTCATCACCAATCTCCATTTCAAAACAGCTTTCAAATGGGAACTAATGCATTAGCTCTCGCTGGGGGAAAAAAAGGATCTTGGGAGCCACCACATAGAGGCTCAAAAATGCTTTCATACATGTTTTATCAGTGGGGGAAGAGCTGCCCATCTTATTAGCTTGGCACTGTGTTATTAGCTGCCATTGTGCTCCATAAAAGCCCCTTAAGGCCTGTTCCACTGTTCTCTGAATCTGGGGTGAGCACTGTGCCAAGCGCTTTTTGGAGGTATTTGAGACCATGAAAATTCAATCCCAAACCCTCAGCATTCAGGTTTCTCACAGATAAATGAAGGGGATTAGTGGAACAATAAAACAATGTCTTACCTCAGATACCACCGTATCCTATTAATTGGGATTACAGTGGAGAAATGTGTCAAAGAAAACCAGACGCTTTTTTTTGCGACACGCTCTTACATTAAGTCCCGTCAAAGTAACAATGTTCCATCACATAGGAAATTGTGATCAAATAAATATAGAAAACTGTACAAAATCTCCAAAAAATAAGAAAAGAAAGAAAAAAAATCCCCCGGACACATGAATAATAGCTCTAGTAAGAAGCTGACAATTGCAAGCTCTGTAATAATCCACCTTGGGTTGGATATGCCAGGCAATGTGTCAATTGATTCCCATCTGATGATGGACTGTGTGCTGAAATAAATTGACCTTGCCAGACGATGAGTGAAATTGATGGAGCTTTTCATCTCCGGAGGGCCGTTCCACACTCAGCCGTAAAATGGATAGAGCACAGGACAGAGTGATTGAGTTGGGTGGGGGGGAATCTAAGGTGTGTGGTTTTCTCCAACTAAAGCTCGTCTAGTAAATAACAGTTACAGGAAGAAAAAAAATCCCTATGTGGTAACAGGTACAGGGGTTAAGTGTCTGCTGTTGACTAGATTATTAGGACTGAAAGCACACAGAGCTAAAGTGAGGCCGGCCACTGACAGATGCTACCCATAGGAAGAATATGTGGTTCAATTACCGAGAGGCTAAATTGAAAGCGATAGTGATTTAAGTCTTCCCAATACGCCAACCACATTCTGGCAAACAGTCTTTTCAAGGAGCCCTTTAAAAACCCTGTTGGAGTGCGTGAGACACAGGAGCACTATTGATTTTCAATAACATCCCCTAATGACCTGGCCACGGTTTGATCCACGCTGTCATTATGGGTTGATACCATGGGACTGGAATTGGTGGGCCTCACGGCGCACAGCAGCGAGATGAGTAGTCGGCGCATTATCGGGATGAATTGGCTGTCTCTGCTCAGGCAGCAGGCGCAGCCGAGGTCTTGTCAATAACAGGACAGGGCACCTCAGGGCTCCCTCTGCGGCCCATTCCAGAGTGCCTTCCGGCCTCATTAGAAAAGGAGATGAGTGGTGTGCACGAGGAGAGGAGGCATATGAGAAGAGAGGGGAGCCTCTTTTTCCACCAACTGATAGCCTGCCTCCCAGGCATTGCTCCTCTTAATGAGTCCAGACCGCGGGTCAATATGCCGCTGGGCTGCCAGTCAATACCGGTTACCTGCAACACAAACACTCAAAACCTGCTTTCATACAAAATCAATGTTCTATTAGTCCCTGCCTGTATTGCCTTGGCCCAATCTCATCGATCCCTGTGAAGAGCTCTGCAGCCCATGTATGACAGATTACGGTCAAATGATCTGATGGCTTAGGCTACTCTGCCAGCCAAGTCAGTTGGCTTTATGATTTTAAAGTAATATCTTGGTATCAGATGAGTAAATGCTCTAAATGCTAGAAACTAAGGCATCGCCGGCAAACCTATCAACCTCACATACACATAGCACTCAGCAGGTCCGGCTCACAGACAAAGTCACAGCTGGCAGCCGGCGCCGACGTCGAGCGCCAGAATTAAAGATGAGCAGGAAATGTTTGACATTAGGTCCAAACTTTATTCCGTACGTTTTAAACCATGAATGTTCATTTTCATTTTTTTTTTGCACGCCTAAAACTCTACTTGTTTTGTATACAAGAGTCTAAGAAAAACAACTGCACAACACCACAAGGTTGACAGAGAGAGTCCTTTTGCCGCCCACTAAACAGTGTCCTCATTTTTCTATCTGGGGCTGGTCCAGTTTGTGACTTGGAAGTCTTTGAATTATTTAGTCGTTATTTCATTTGTAAATATAAACAGGTGTTAAATCCAGGTTGCTCTCAGTATCACCGGTATGGTCTTTTCCCTCCAGGTGATTTCTTCTGCAGGGTGCTGTGTGCTGCTTTGCATAGATTGCAGATGATCCGTTTAGGCCTCCTTACAACACCCTCCCTTCGTACTTCCTGTCCGTCGGCCACACTTGTCTCTCTCCGCAATATTCAGCAGGCAGGTGATTTTCCCGTGTTTCGTTTTGATTTTGTTTTTCTAGAAATGGTTAAAAAGCCTAATAAATTTACATGGTAAACTTGCAGCGAAGGAATAGCAACAAGTTATTTACATCTGTTTTCTTTACAGAGACTCAACAAAGACCTCATAATATATATTTATCTGCATATCTCAAAGGCAAAACAATTGAACAGAACAAATCGGTAATGTAGCATTGTACATTGTCATCACTGAGGATATCCTGGTACCATGAGGTTAAGTTACTGAAACCAAAATCCAGTCTTTACAGTGGGTCATAAGGGATATGTCTCACAATCAACTGGGATAAATATTGTAAAAGGCGTGACTAATGCACAAAATACATAAAATTCATAAAAATGATATCTATACATGGAACAAGGATAGGAAATGTACAAACTCATTTGAGGACCTCTATTTTGCACAAAGTTGAAAAAAAGGTATTGGATTAATATATTAATAATTATCAAATATTTAAGTCGGCAATAAACATACACATATTTATGTTCTCTTTACCGACGCTATTCGACCTCCAGTCCACTAAAAATAAAGTCATGGCATGTGCTTAATTAGCCTTACACACCTTTAATTTGTACAATCATACCCTTTCCCTTAGGGACTTTTGCTCTTCTCTGGTGGAGAAGAGCAGTGCATTTTGTTTACAACAAGCTTTCAGATTAGAGGAGCGGGGGCGTGTGAAAGCGCCCTGTAAGACATTTTTGCACTTTTCCAAGAAGCTACCGAGCCTCTACCTCTTTGGGGTTACGTGATGGGGAGTAGTCCCGTGGGTCCTGGGTGGTTGTGAGGGGGGTAGTCCTCCGGGGCGAGGCTGGCCTGGCACTGCCAGCTGGCACAAGGGGTGGGGGTGCGCTAAGTGCGGCGGTAGGGGGTGTTCTGTTCAGAGGGCCATTGTGTCCTGTGGAGGGGCTGAGTCTGGGGTAGGGCATGCCGCCTAGGTGGGGCATAAAGGGGGGCATGTGTGGTAGATGACCCTCCATTGGGGACTGGTGCAGCTGATGAAGCCGTGCTCTGTCCAGCTCCTCCCTCAGGTGGAGGCGCTCTCGCTCCTCGGCTTGCTGTCGCATTCTCTCGTGCTCCCTGCGTACCTCCAACAGGTGCTCGTGGTGGGAGTAGTCATGAGCCTCCCTTTCGCGGTAGGCTCGCTCCTGTTCGTACATGCTGGGGAAACGATGCCCCGGCTCAGGCCTGAGCTGGAAGTCCATGCGGCGTTGCAGATCCAGGCTGCGGTAGGCCTCTCTGAGCGGATCCCAGGGAAAGGCTGTGTGCGGCAGGCGCTCTCTTCCTGCAAGTGCTCCCATGAAGGGAGCCATGCGAGCCCGGTCTAGCACGTTGAGGCTGCCCATCTGAGGCATGGCGCTCATGGAAAGAGGCAGAGAATGCGCCATGGGGACACCATGCAGGCCAGGTGCTGAGATGTCACTACCACGCGGTGAAGGAAGTGGGGGCTGCTGGGACAAAGGTGGATGGTGGTGGTGCGGGTTTCCCGGTTGGCTGACGGGAGGAGGAAGAGCTTGGGCCGGTGGCTGGGGGGCCGGCTCCGAACTAACCACCATGACCTCCTGCTCCTCCTTCCTCTCCTCCTTAATCTTCATGTCATTTTTCACCTTATGGAGGAGCTCTGCAGGTGGGGGCTCCTTCCTCTCGCTGTCCTTGAGCGTAGACAGAGGCCCGCCTGCCATCTTGATGCCCTGCTCATTGATCATTGTCTTAGAGTAGGGGGAAGGGGAACGCTGAGTGGGTTTGATGGAGTCTTCTGAGGGTCTTCTCTCTAGCATCTCCTTGCCCGGCGAGCGACTCTCCTTCACCTTCACATCAGCCAGTGCGGAAGACTCTCTGTGTCGCTCCAGTAGCTCCTTCTCTGCCTCGCGGACCCTGTCTACGCTGCCGCTGTGATGCCGACCTGAATCGCTCGAGTTCTGGCTGCTGGAGCGAATCAGGCTGCTGATCTGGTAGCTGACTGGTGCAGAGGCCGGAGACGAGCGGTTGGAGTGGCGGTTGCGATCCACAGAATCCCTGTAACGGCACAATGTAAGAGTTTTATTTTTGCCAGTAGGTCGTGTTTGGTTAGTGTCTGATTAATTCTCAACAATAAAATCTGCCTTATAATTCTCTTTTAAATCGTACGAGTTGCCTTGCTCTTGTATCCCTCTGTTCTCTGTTTGACGGTAACCCTTCATTCTGCTGCCGTACCATTCATAGAAATGTCTCCAATTAATTTTTGACAAATAGCTTCTCTCGGCGCGTCGTGCTCTTTTATAAGCGTGCCGGTTGTTCAATTTATTTCAGTTTCCATGGATACGACTTGTAACCACCTAGAAAAAAACATTCGCTGTTTTTCCTTTGCTCTGCTCTGACTGATCAGCTTGTATGTATAATAATGCTGGTTTATCATAGTCGCTATTGTGGTCTTATTTCAGGAGTCAGTTTTTACATACTGGATGTGAGCAACACACAAAAACATACAACCAAAAGTGTGTTTCACCCACCGGTCTTTATCTTTCTCCTCTTTGCCAATCGACGAGTCTCTTTTCTCTCGCTCCCTCTCTCTCTCCCGTTCCCTCTCTCGCTCTCTCTCGTGGCTGTTGGCGGAGCTGCTTCTCTCAGCATCTGCGGTTTTGGGCCACTGCGGCGGGGTGGGGAACGACGGCGGGGTTCGTCGAAGTCGGTTCCAGGTGTCGTGGTGGGGGCTGCCAAATGTGGGCAGTCCTCCCGGCCCCTCCTTGGTGCCAAACATGCTGTTGGACCCTGAAGGAAAGAAGCAGACAGGCGTGGGACCCACTGTAAGTTAATTGGGCACAAAACCTTCTTGAGGACACATAAGATGAGAAAGACTCAACAACAAAAGCTGCTTTTGTCTTTGTCTCTGGAGGTTCTCTCACTGAAGCACTGAAGCTGTTTGAAAGAGTTAGAGGTTAATGCCCCCCTCCCCCTTGAACTGGAGAGAAAAAACCCCTACTCATTTGCTTTTAGACTAAAGGTCCCCCCCCCCTCCCTTCCTTTTCTGCACCGGATGAACAGGGGAGACTCACTGCCCTCTGGAGATGATAGCTGTGAAAAGCCAAGGGGAACCTTAGCATTCCACGGCATGTCTATTCCAATCACATCCATTTTCACAACAGGGTGACCGATTTGGCACACAAAAATAGGAAGGATGAAGAGAAAGAGAGAAAGGCATAGAGAAGGGATGCAAAGGGAAAAGAGAAAACCCTCCATGGTGGTGCAGAAGGGGCTTGTCAAATAATTAATAGACGAATTACCACCAAACAGCAGACCTAAGAGTGCCTATTGGCAGCAACACAGCCAGATTAAAGCCAGGCTGTCAGGGACTTAGTTGGTAGATGAAGTGGAGGCAGGGAGGAGGTTTGCTGTGGTGTGCTGTGCTGCCTTGTTGGGCCTCCCTGGGATAGGACTGTTTTGACACAGAAACTAGAGCTAAGTGTCTAGATTTTTTTCTCCCCTCCTGGCTCTCCCTGTGGTCTAACGCTGTCCTGCTCTATTCTATTACTGGCCACAGGGGCCAGATTGAAGGGGGGAGCGGTGGAGGAGGAGGACGAGAGGGGGCCAACGCTTACCAAGCGAGGGGTTGCCTAATCCTCCGAAGGCACTGCTTGAAAGGTTGCCGAGGCCGCCAAAGGAACTGGAGCGACTGAAAGGATCTGCAAAATGCCAAACAGGGATTAGCAAAAGGGGGGGTGGCTGGCTAGCAGTGCTCACCCCAACACCAACCCATTCCACTCGGCTTTTCTCTTACAAGCGAGCCGTGGTTTTCTAGCGCTGCGACCCTAGCTCTCTGCCTGGTAATCCTGCAGTAGCCAGGTTGCCTGGATGCTGGATTCACTGCCACTAACTGGAGTGGAGTGTCTCTGACCTGCTGGGGCTTGTGGAATGATGCTGCTTGGTGGGGAAATCAGTTTTGAGTTCTTGGAGCTGAGCTGGAAATGGATTGTGGTAGGACAAGACAATTAGGAGCTGTGGAAATTAGCCTAGACAGAGCACAGTGATTTAACTGGTGAATCACTATCTGATGGACTCCATCAGTCACAGACTATAGCCTCCAAATTTACGGGGATAACAAATATTTAGTCTGAGAAGTCAGCGAACGGGACTCATTAACTAAGAATTTGCAGTCCCACTTTAAATCGGAAATAATCCATCAGGAAATGCACAACTTGCCAACCGATTGGGGTTCAAGGATTTTTAATTCTGGAGCTTTTCACGTATTAGAAAAGACAAGAATTGAGAAATCTCCTCTGCCTCACACATGAATTCCCATTTGTTGACTAAATCTTCATCCTCAGTTTACCATGTTTTCATAGGCACAGAATGGACTGACACTTAAACAGTGTCTCAGTCCGAACTGAGGATGATGAATAAAAATGCAAACAACCGAATGTACCAAAGAATCATACAGCACGAACGCCCCTTCATTATTCCCTTCTTCCTGGGTACGACGAAATCAGCTTGGCATGCTTATAGAAAATAGTGTCTTGTGTGCTGCTGCTCTGTGTACAGTTTGTCCGAGCAAATGAGGGATGACAAATCGGTCTGGAGGCTGGAAACTACTTCCATTTTAATAAACCCGGACTCTGGAGTTATTTTCGACCGTAGTATGAATCACACTGGCTGATTGCAGGATGGCTACATTCAATATTATAGTAAAGTAAGAGGCAGTACTGCAGCTGGCTGTTGCTAACGATATTGTACATTAACCTTGAAGTGAACCTGAGATCAAAAACTAGGAATACCTTTGGTTCAAATTACACCCTGGTGGCTTTTAATGTATTTGAAACATGAGTGTAAGAAAGAGTGAGTGAGAGACTCGTGTTGAAAGAGGAGATAAATGTATAAAAAAAAGATAAACATGGGGGTTACTTACACTTACCTGCCAAATGGCTAGGAGGCAGGAATCCACTGGGGTGGGAGGGGGGGCCGTATGGAGACGGAGGGGGGTGTCCAGAGCCTATCGGGACAGAGAGGATGAAATAGTGTTATAATCCATATCCGGCCGGTCGTCTGGTCGGTTGGGGAACAATCTTACGCCAAACCAAACCCTAAGTTAAACAAATGCATTTCTGCCGCAGTATCACAAACTCTGACGCAACGTGGACCAGATGAGCAAAGAGTTGGTGGAGTGATGCTACTGACTATATCAGCTGGTTTCATTGCAGCTGTTATTTGTTTGTGCGTGAGTCTGTACCAGCTTAGTGAGGTCAGCTCTTGAATGTACAACAAGTTGGCCTCTTTCACAAAACACTGCTACCATCACCCATATTTCATGAATTGTTAATGATAGAACCAATTACAGGAGTGCCTCTGACACACCGCTGCATAATTACCAGTCAAAGGCCGTTCTCTTCTCTGTTGCCCTCCAACACAGGGCGCATCAGTCAATTACCTAACTGAGAGCCATGCATATTCATAGACATATTTGACTCCCTTTACAGGCAAAACACTTGCTACCAAAGCACTATAATTATGTGAACATTGCACGAGAGGGAAAATAAAAAGTGTTTTTTCCAAATGTTGTTAAAAATGTTAATTTCCATAAAGGCAGTAATGACGTTAGGAGGCTTGAAGTTTGAGTGTTTTCAATATGTTGGTAGGTATTTTGAGCCTTGACCAACCTGTGGAGGGGAAGAGGGGTCGTGCCAGATCGTGAGGGTACGGGAACCCTGGGAAGACTCCTGGTGCTGGGGGTCGACTAAACAGGTCCAGCTTCCCATTCATGTCAAGTTTGTGAGGGTCCAGCTGCATTTGCTGTAGAAAAGCAGAGAAGGAGACAAAGAAAATTAGGTCAGTACGCAACAGCACGAAACATTTCCAACAAGGGAGTGAGCGTGAGCGATCGTCAGCTACACTGGGTGAGAGCTCAGAGAAGGACAGAGACTTTGACAATGGCTCCATGTTCTCAATTCTGACTAGCTGTGTTATAACAAATATATGTAAGCTGATTAGGGAAACAAAATCCTTGGCAACTGGGGTTCTGGGCCCAAGAAAAGCCTGAGACACCCAGGGCCAGTGGCATTAGCAGAGGATCTCCATGGCAAGGCCACACCATCCTCTGTCAGTGAGAGGAGTAATTCGTATAAGCATTTCTGTTCTGTGTTCACATGTTGCATCTGATACCGAGTGCTACTGTTACCATCTACCCCTTCTCTTATGGAGTCAGAGAGAACCTTTATAGAAAATATATGTTTAAAGTGGAGCCTTCATGTGTTGGGCTTTGCTTCTTTTAAAGCTTTCTGCCTCTTTCCAATCATGTGATCGTTCTACGTTTAGACCCAAACAAAAGATCCAAGTCAGCTCGATCTGCTCTAGCATGTAGTGTTTTCAATAAGTTAGCTATTTGGCCCGTTTTCCATAACCAATATAGTGTATCTGGCTTTACATGACAGCAAGATTCCTTAAAAACATTACTATCTGTCTCACGCACCTTCATTTTCTGCTGGTGGTGGTAGATCTGCCATGCGATCTGGACATGCACTGCACACCACTTGCCAGGTTTCTAAAAATTTAGAGAGAAACTGAGGTTAGCCTGCTGGCTTTGATATGGGGAGCTAAAAATTGATTCTGGCATAGAGCTTTTCTGGCCAAACTACAAAGTGGGAACTCATCAGAATTTGCAACCAGGCAACATATTAAGAATATCTAACCCCAATACAGACCTCAAAGCTAAGCGTAAATGCAGCCAAAACCCTGCATTTGCTTAATCGAGAATTGTTAAAGAATTTTAAGGTTTTAGACTTTGTGGCCTGGCCAGAGAGATGAAGCATTTAACAGGAAAGGATAAGGCATCTACTTACCCTAACAGATGTCCTGAATGGATCTGTTATCTGTATGGATAAACAGATAATCATTATTACAAACAACAAAGACACATACTACTAACTGTAAAACTGAAATGCATGAGAAGAAATGTCTCTTTGAGACATATGCACTGGATTATGTGTGGCTATCATCAGAAGGAATATGAGCAGAGTGGCTGCGATGCTCTCGGTCTCATGCTTACCCGTGGGTCCTTCTGCAGAAGTGTATGAGGCACTGCTCCAGGACGTGCTGCTACATCGATGGGATTGGATGCCTGACAGAGAAAGACAAAGACAAAAAGATATATGGTGATCAACCACATCTGTAACATCTGCATGGGGAAAGAAAGAAACTGAACTTGGCACAACAATACAAAACAATTTGACCTCATATAATAATTCCCAAAGGGGGTCTCAGGCATCCTCAAGAGGGTCCTCTGTAGAACACTGTTAATTGCATTTTTTCCATTTATTTTTTTTAAATATCCCCTGAGAGAATGAAGAAGATTACTGTAATCCCAGTTTTCACCTTATTCTTATGCTTTGTGTCAGTGCTGTTATGGAGATAGCATGGAAGCATGTAAGACGAATTTCTTGCAAAACTACTCGAAGACCCTCCAGCATCTATTCCAACCCAGATAATTAGCTGCACTACGGTCAGCTAACGCCCAAGTATTTGCACAGCTATAGCTGATATAGGTAAAACTGCAATGATGCTTCCCAGAGTTCAGAGTTATGCCAGAGCAGCACATCTCTAATCGTTTCATCTTCAAGTCTGCAGAGCACAAGATCCTAGATCAACATTGTTCCTGGGGTTTTATGCTCCAGCAGGAAACACATGTCATTTCACATGGCCTAACCTGACATGCACCTCCTGAGAAATGTAACTATACATCGGGTCAATGCAGCCCACAACTAGTATGATGTGCTCGTTCAGCATCATCGATTCATTCGTGTTTCTGGCAACTTTTTTGCCACCTTTTTAAATTTTATCAGTGAGAGAATCTCGGTTTAAGGAATTATAATCATAGCATCAATATAAAGGACTCACAAATGTCAGGAAATACCTGGAGGGAGATTGCTGAAACTATGGGAATGAACGTGATGGAAATTACAGCGAAGTGGAAAAACTAGAGATATGTTTGAAATCCCCTCCCCCCCAAAATAACCAAAAGGCCCAGCATTTTATTTTTTTCCATCAGCTGGCACTGGATATAAAACACCAGGACAGGACTACATGGTAATTAACACAACGCACCACATACAAGCAAAAATGCCGCCAACGATGTCGCCACTTATGTAGGCTACACCGTAAGCACTACAAAGAGTCCCCGCAGAAGTCTAAATCAGGCCTTAATCTATTGCCTTATTAGAGATCGGGTGATTCTGCACAGTGACCAGGGTCGCCAGGCCCCACAAACAAACATACTTCCCAAGCTCTATCCCCCCAAGCTCGTCTCCAAGAATACTTAGCAGGGGCTTTGGATGCATAAAACTGTGCTTTGAACCATCTGGAGGGGCCTTCCACAAAAGGGAACCTCCATCACTGAGCCCTCTGGGAATAGGGCCAGCGGATTTAGGCCAGCTTTGATTGGTGGCTTACTTCAGGTCACAGCCTCTGAGCATCTGCCAGACTCACACCCTCCCGCCCCTCGACGTCCCCTGCATCTCCTCCCTTCTGCTCTTCTGGACAGGCAGACATCACGGTCCTATTTTTGGCCTGTCGTGACTAAGGCTAGGAGTCCACCTGCAGTTTTAAATTTTTGTTTTCCTTTTGCACACTTATAAAGTGTTTTTCTTGTAAAAGTCTGCACACTTTGTGGTTTCTTTTATGCTCAAGCTCCCTTAAAATCTCCTGTTTGTAGACAGTGGGTTAAGGGATGCGGGTCTGACCTTGGGCTGGAAGGCTCCTTGCAGCGAGCTGAAGGGTCCTGAGTGTGGGAGCAGCGGGGGCATGCCTGGCATGGTTGGGGGGTAGGAGGGGAAGAACTGGAAGGGGGAGGAAGGGGAAGATGGGAGACACAAAACAAAATCATACAGTCATACATACAAGACTCAAGCATATAGATACACACACACACAAAGCCACTGCCACAATAAATGCTGTCAAGGCAACATTCAAATATGTCAAATATTTGATTTGCCATATGCAAATACTGTTAACACATTTAAATTAGTGCAAAAAAACTTACATTTGAATGTCTGATGAATGGATTGTCCAGTTTGGGGCCATATTTGTCGAACTGGAACAGACAGAAAAGAAAAGCATTAGGAAACAAAAGTCCACATAATGATATACTCGAACAAAATCCCTCATACAACAGCCTTCTTTGGTAATAAGGTCTCATTATTTTTTTTTTTACATTACAAAGGCAAAAACACATGCTCAACATCTGTAACTGGTAACGAGCAGGGTTTGGTCCAGAATAACAAGCCCCGGGGTAAAGCAGCTGGCTTGAACTGGTCATGGGTTTACTTAAACAGCGTGGTCAGATAGGCAGTTAAATCACTAACAATACAACCGCTTAAGCACACTGCCAAGACGAAGACAGCCTGCATGATTTTTCAATTGAGCATACAGACATTGGGCGTGGAGGCCCAGCTTAGGAATCAGACAGTTTTAAGGCCAGACCAGTTGTTTCTAATCACTGGAAAATCTAGAGAAATGTGAATCTAATTGCTTTTGACTGCTGAGATTTTTTTGTGTGCAAAAAGCCCCGATGGTATATCTGGGAAGGAAGTACAAGAAGACATGTAACTTGTTTGCAGTGTTAGGAAACTGTACTTCAAAAGACAAAAAAGCGGGTCAGTCCGTAAAACCACGGAGGTCATATGTGAAGCTGTGTGAACAGTCTGCCTTGTATGATTGAGACTGATTTAAGGAGATGGGATTTCAGCTGATTAAATGCTTGAAACCGACACCACCTCAGAGTTGTGAAGAAACCGTTTCTGTGGCAGAACTTAGCCTATCAGAATAATTTTAGTTGGAATTTGCCAGATGAAAACAGTCTGGTTACATTTAAAATGTTTCCGATCATGCCCCGCGCGCACACGAGAAAGCAGTCGGTAAGCTGAGATGGACAGGAGGGAGGAAGAGAGAGAAGGGAGCATGAATGAGGACTTTGTATGTCTGTTCGCGAGCCAATACCAGCTCTCTATTTTGAAAACGTCTAATTACAAGTGACAGTAACTTATTCCTATTCCGTAAATACACAAACCATTTGCAGGTACTTTTTGCGAGTGTTTTCTCAAAGCTCAGTTGGCAGGCGCAGATGTTTTGGGTTTACATAATATGGGAAAATGAACGGGTATGAATCAGATTTTCTGTGTGCACGCGTGCAGCGACAGGGGTGGCTGGGGAGGGAGGGCGGGCTGGAGCTGGTAAAGCTGCTGGTGCAGATGCAGGGTTTGGGACACGGGGCCGTCTGGTGAAGCAGGTCCAATCACATCTGTGCGCAGAATGGTAATAACAGCGGCGATGGTGTCGGCGGCCCTGTTTGTGGGCGATAATGGCCCCGAATCAAAGACAGCCCATTGAGAGGAAATGCTGAGCCAGCTTCCGAGCTCATTAAACAGCTCCTCTGCGCTTCTGAAGGCGCGGCCTGTTTAATGTCTGTCACTGGAGAGGGGATTTCGGCTTTATGGCCTTGTTAAAAAAAACAAATAAAGAAAAAAAAGAAGTCTTGCCTTAAAATTTATGGAGGCTGTCACAGTTTTATAGTAAACCGCTTTGGCTAATTAACGCTTAATATTTCATCCTATAACAATTAAAAATATTTCTCGTCCAAAGACATGGCAGGAGCAAGGGGGCAGGCATTCACCGATGCCATTTGGCAAGCCAGCTGCTCGAGGGCGTAGAGCAATAAACAAATATAGAGGCTTCATAATTTCATTAATTACAGCCATTAGCCAAGGGCTGTTACATAGTTGAAATGACATGGGGCATCTAGAGAGCAGGAGGAAAAAAACGTGTGTGTGAGAGAGATAGACAGAGGATACACAGCTGGGAAACACTTGGTCTAGCTTTTCATAGCAAAACAGTAAAAACAGCCACAACATCATCATTACTCTGCTTCTTTAAGCACTAAGGAGAAGAAAGCAATATCGCTACTGAGGGGTAGGAGGGAGGGAAAGGCATACGTTAAGTAAAAACAGCGAAAACGACAAAATACACAACAGCAACATTAACGTCAGTGTAAAATCCCACTGAAACGACACAAAAGAGATGATGGTGGTGGTGGTGGTGTTGGTGGGAGGGGGGTCACTTCTTTCATCTTCAAAGAGAGGATTGTGTAGCGCATAATTCCTTCCATGTAAGGAATGAACAGCAGACCAGACAACAGCGTGTGTGCTGACCGAAGAATCATGTAAACGGCCCTTATGCTTATCTGACTGCGCCATAAATACCAGAGCTTTGATTTCTAATGTACAGGATGGGGATAATCTTGGAGTTGGGCCTTAATGGGACCACGGGCTTTTAATCAGAGGTCATGACAAGATGGATTAGATCTATTAGACTAATGGCAAAAAGCTACAAATGGGGAGCCGTCTGATTCGACTGACAGAGATTGCTGCGCATTTCAAATGATGGATGAATAGTCATAACCGTTTTTCCTCTGTACAAATTTTGAGAGCTGCCAGTGTTAAACGCCCCTCCCTCTTCCCTCCAGACTTGTTGGCATTTAAAACACGGAAGCAATTAGAAACGTTATCAAAACAGTTTTACAATGATGTCATTTCCCCCCTTTATCCGCAATGAGGTCATCTGACCCACTAGAAAAGCTTTGAATTTGTCATTGGAATGTATGGTTGCTTTTGGGCTTTGCACACACGTACACGCAGCAATAAGTCCCTGTTACACAAACACACACATATATGTCTGTGTATATATATGTATGTATAAAAGCACAAGTCTGCAGGAATGTATTCATACAGACACAGATCGGCTTATTAGTACCTTTGTTTTTAATGAAAAGGCATATCTAAACAGGAAATTAGCTTCTATAAAAACTGAAGCGTACTGAAACTCTACAGTCCTTTCTAATAATGTTGGGATGCTGTGTAAAATGTAAATAAAAGCAAAATAAAATATTTGAATGTGTTAATAGAATTGAAACAATCAAAGGGCAACATATCAAATACTGAAAGTGAGAAATGTTATCATTTGTTGTGTCGTTTAAAAAAGCTGCGGCTAAACATGCTAAAAACACATGGCTGAACACCACGCTGTTAATAATGAAAATATAATGGAATGAACATGCTATTGCTAATTTAAAATTACAAATAAACATTTTACATGTTGCCTCATCAATCTGTTGAATAAATACAAATATAGTTGCTGATAATGGAAATGTGTACTTGAAGCAATTAAATTGACAGTGTAATAAACATGCTCGTGTGTGTGTTTGTGTAATGGGAGGTGGCAGCCCCAATTAAACGTGATGCTTCCAGCTTGTCGTCCACAGGAAGAGTGCAAAAAAAAAATCTTTTAAAAATTCAAACTCAAAGTGTCAGATTTTTCTGAAGGGAGGGGTTCTTACAGCTACAGGACAAAACTGGCAAATTTGGGGGTAAAGAAAAAAAGGGAGGAGTTGATTGAAGAGGAAATTGGGAGGGGTAACAGGTGAGTTGGTGGGAAGTTACGGGAGCTTATTTTACTTATCCTCACATTTCTGGCTTGGGTACGCACCATGGGGGGTGCGGTGGGCGGGGTGAGGATGGCGGCCGGGGGCAGACTTGCGGGGAAGGGCGTGAAGGTGTGCTGGTGGGTGTGTTGGTGCTGGTGCATGTGCTGGTGTTGGTGAAACTCGGCCCTCAGGAGTGACACAGGGGCCAACGGCGAAGCGGACGGCCCCCGGCCCCGCTCTGAACTCTGAACCAGGAAACGGTTGTTCAGCTCCTGCCTCAGGAGGTCATGCTCTGCAAGAAAGGAGAGCGAGGGGAAACCCAAAAAAAAAAAAAAAAAAGAAAAGCAAAAAAAGGAAAAAAAAGAAAGAAAAAAGGAGGGGGGGGGGGGGGGGGGGGCGGAAGGGGGGACACAAGAAAAAAAAAGGCACGGGCGCCCAGTCAGTCTTCACAACAAGGGTAGAAGAGAAAAAAGAAAATAGTCACCTGGCATTCTCTGTTTCTCCAGCTCATGCTGTGAGGGTTTTCTACGTGGGGACTCATTGGTGGTGGTAAGAGAGTTGCCTGTGACAATGTGCCAATCAGAATCCCCGAATGAGGCTGGCAATACATGATTGGTTGGTTGAATGATATCAACAGGCTGGTATCTAAAGACAAGAAAGAACCAAGAGTCATCCCAGCAGAAAACACACACACTCTTGCCCTCTATGAGAAAGTCATTTCACAACTGGCATATTTACTGCTTATTTTGGAGACACCCATCATGTCTGGAGACATTTTCTTTTCTGATGAGATCGCCTGTTTCGATAGAATCTTTGAACATATTAAAAATCGTTACAAATCACTCGTGTTTGCATGCTAGGCAACACAATTTTAGCTGTGCCAGTTGCAGACTGGCTGCTTGCGGTGTGCTGTCTCCGACCGTGGTGGCTGTCTGATCGTTAGATGACATTTACTCGTGATGCATCCAAGCCCTCTTACAGTCCTTGTGCCCATTTAATATCTGTGCTACTAGAAATGCAGACCATCTAAGAAGGGACCCCAAGTGTATTTATTTCCATTTAATATACTTTTCCACTCTGTAATGCCCAACAGTTATTTCTATGCAAGACCCTTTGTACTTTTTTCAGTTTATTGATGAGCTCTAAGTGCTTACTGCCCACTGTGTTATTAGCATTAATATCCCATGTGCTGCATAGAGTGCTTTAAAGATTAATGCAAATTTGTCATTGCAATTTACTTTGCTGAGGCACTATGGAAAATGGATGTATAATTAGAGCCTTTTTTAAAACTGACACTGATACTGGCACCGATATCGGATGATTTAAAATCCGATAGCCAGTACACAAACCATAAACAGATATCCCTAGCATTCATCATGTGTGGTTATTTATGAGTCCTTACTAAGACTCATTATTTGTGGATTGCTGTGACTCTGCTCACATCAGCTGGTTGTTGTGGTATTCCAAAACTGTGTTGCCAATACAGTTTTGGAATACCTGTCTCTGGTTAACAAACTATGAAGTATTAACACTCATAACATGGTGTTAACAGTATTTCTATCATCTCGTCTTTACTTGAATTTTAATTTATCAGCTGTTATAAATTTATCGATATACCAGCAAATAGTTAATAGATCAGCACCACTGGTATATTGGTTCTATTTAAAATACTGAGATCTGGACAAACTAAACTTCTAAGAAAGGGCTAAATCCCTCACATGTCTTCACTTAGGAATAAATGCGTTGTAGAATAACTCAATAGCCTTTTTATTTAAAAAGAAAAAGTAAAGAATGAGCACTTACCAGATCAGCAAATGGTGCATAAACACTTGACTTGTTTCAAACAATGTAACATTTTTGTGCCATTAATGGTATAAAAATCCTCGACTAACTGTAGTAGGTTAAACAATATTTGCCAGGTTAGTATTTTATGCATCTATAAATCCTATTTTTAAACAACTGCAATTGCAGCATGAACACAGTTGTACAGCTAAGTGTAACTTATCTAATGATAAAATGTCCTGTAGAACCGCAACAGTGTTTGCAGTTCTTTTGTTAATCTCAAGAATAAATAATGAATCAAAAATGTTCATGTAAAACATTTTGCTCCCTCTGAAGTTGTTTTTCTTTGGACTTTGCGTCTCCGCTAAAGCTACCGTGCAGCATTTAAGGTGCGCAGCTTTACCTGGGTAGGGGGTGCCGGCGGGGTGCCCGGGCACCACTAAACTGTTGGTCGGTAAGGTCGGTGGCGGCGGCAGTGTGGCTGGGGTTGCAAACATGGCCGAATGGCGATGGGCTGGGCTCCGTAGGGAGGAATAGTGCGAGGTAGAAAGGTTGGCTATGGAGAGAGGCAATGCAGGGGCCGAGGACGGAAGCCCACTCAGGTGGTGGTGAGGGGACGGGGGTAAATGCTGTTTGGGAAGACCCACTGGACTGCTGCTGTGGCTAAAGATTTAATGGGGTACAAAAAAAATGCAATCACTATTAGCATCATTTACGATGTTAATACAAACTGTACATACATATCCACATACTGTGATGCTTTTTCTTGTAGGTATCTCGCTGTAAGTTCAGCTTACTTTGACCAAATAAGATTGATTTTCTAATAATGCTTCTTATATTGAATTAAAAGAGGTGAGGGCACAATCTGAAAAGGTGAAATGGGAAATCATGCTGTGTGCACTGCAGTGTTGCCCGATGAAAACAGTAAATCTGACAGCTGGTTATTGTGAGGGAGGAAAAATCAATATCCACATGAAAACAGTCAATACTGTGTGGAATATAGAATTGTCTATTGGACTAGATCATATTAATTTGGAAGTTCTGGCAGGTTATATCGTCTTTACTAGAGTGGTAGGAAACACAAGGAAAGTGTTAGCGTCTGCCAGACAACACTGTGAACAGGTACAAAAGGTGAGACGGTGAAAGTGAAGACAGTACTGGGTACTGAATTTCTGTTTGCTTTCTGGTAGTGTGCAGCGCTGAGGTTGGTGAATATGGCACTAACACAGCTGAACCGTGTGGTTTCTTTAGCAGGTTTATACTCATAATTCTTAGCCCCAGTAAAAATACCTGATTTCGTGGAGGCTGCTATACGGCAACGGGTGGTGCACTGGCCGTGCGTGGTGCTGTCGGGGCAGAACACGAGGCTCCTGGTGCGAGTGTGGGTGAGGAGGGTGGGGTGGGGGTGGGGCGGTGCCCTCAACAGGGGAGGTGTAGGGACGGGCGGTGGAAGTTGCAGCTCCTTTTTAACACTGAGAGGAGGCGGGGTGGGAAGCCGTAACCTAGGAGGCTCTGAGGGTGCCGCCGCTGCAGCAGGGGCAGGGGAGCCCGTAGGTGCCGAAGCCGGGGTGGGGCTGGACACGGGAGGTGCAAAAGGCACCTCACTGTTGCTCTGCTCCTGGCTGCGCTGGAGACCGGAGACTTTGGCTGAGCTACAAGTCTTGGACTCAGGACTCTCATTCGTTGGCACACCTGAAATGGGGAAAAAACAGTTAAAATTTAAGGAGAAACATGTTAAACTTCATCTTCGTTTGCCTCAGTAACATCTAACACATGAAAAAACTGCTCCCTCTCTGCCTTTTTAATGTTGTCCCAGTGTCTTCTGCCCAAGGTTCCTCTTGTTTCCCTCTCCCTAGGTTCCATTAAGTGTTTAATCAGGTCATTTTCATGCTTGACTATAATCAGATGATCCAATTTCTTTCCGCGATCCAGTCAGTATGAATAAATCACAGCTAATTAAAGTTAAATGTCGGCCCCCATTCAGGGCTTTGCTGAGCACACAATCTGGCATGAAATAATTATGTTTCAATTGTGTTGTGAGGAGAGATCGTGGCCCCTTATCTTGGCCTCTCTGGCATCTTTCTATCTTTCCTTCTTGTTCTTTCAGGGGATAGGGGAAACCACAGGAAAGCACTCTGAACCCATTTTTTACCATTCATCAGCGGCTTTTCAACAGACAAGAAGCTTTTATAATCAGCATTCCACAGAACAACGACTTTTCGTACTTAGACTGTCGCAATTTAATGACTATAATTATATGCTGTTGTAGCAGGCAAATAAAAGTGGGAGAAAAAGCAGCATCAAAGCAGTTATGAATCTTAATGAATAAGACGAGCCAGTTGGTGATCTTGTGCTTCTCCCAGAGTTAAATGCAAAGGAAAATGGCCCGCAAAGATTGTGAGCTTGAGGATACGCTTGTGTGACAACTGCAACAGCAAAATCACTGCTGTAGCTTCTGAGCTAATCAAAGCTGCTACTGCTGGTATTCATTTTAACTATGCACACATGCACAGAGATAGACAGGCAGACAGACAGCTTGGTGGTGCCCTCTTGGTGGCTCTAAGCTACGAGTGCTCAGATACAGCAGGGTTTCAGTCAAAATGAGAAGAGCTGGGAGCTGCTGTCAAACCAGTGAGAACTCAACATGCAGCCCACTAATGGAATATCCAGGCCCTATTAACAGCCTGCTTAATCTTTCAAGGATCCTAACACCCATAAAAAGGCCAATAAAAAGGCAAGGCAGGGCTTTTATTTATTTCTTTATTTGTTGAGCTCCCCTTCCATTTACTCCTTACATTTATAGGAGAACTGGGGCTGGCTATGGTGTCATAATTTTCAAATGAATTCCTGGGTCCAGGCCTATATAGACCTCCGGATTTATTGGGGTCTGGGACTTGGATTAAACTGTCAGACTCTCGGTGTTACGGGGACAGAGAAAGAGGAATACTCAATGGCAAAAACACAGAGGCGGGCACAGACAGACAGACAAACGGAGGAGAAGAAGCAAATATCCACAGTCAAAATGTCGCTGTTGGGTGATGTTGCCATGGCAACCAGTTTTCCCAGACATAATGCAAGGCGAGTGATACTGAAGGAAGTCTCACTACGACCATAGAGGGAAGGTAGGGGGGTGGGGGCTTCGCATTCTAAGCCAGGGCCACAGCGAGCGCCGGGTTATCTTAATGATGATTCTAATGGGCTCTAATGGAGGCAGCGATCGGCACAGACCAACACATCCCTCATTAAAATCCCTCTGAAAGCTCACTCACACTCACAAGCGCGCGCACACACACACACACACACACACACACACACACACACACACACACACACATATACGATTGCACACACAATAAAACACACCCACACGTGCACACGAATGAATGGCACATGGACAAGTTTTTACTGTTGGCAAACACATGCAACTTCATTTTAGTGAAGGGCAGAACAAAGTGAGGAAAACCAGACCGGTTTGTTGGAGAAAGAAAAAGAGTTGCATTATCCAATAGATTTTTATTGTTTGCAAACTGACCTTTTTTTTAATAGGTTTATCTACCATTTTGAAAAATATACAATATGTATGCATGATAACTCTGACACCGTCATACTCCTTCATAAAACCCTATGCTGCGTGATATTTTTCTAGAACTTGCACTTCTGGATACTGGTAAGGTTTAAAGTCAGGGTGTGGCTGCTTTGACTGGCAGGTGTGCTACCAGAGGGAGCTGCAGCGGCTTTTTTTCCTGCTATTTTAAGTTAGCCAAAGGCTGGACTGCATCACTGTGTTTAAGCTGTTGGTGCCATTTGCAGAATTTTAAATTGAATTTAAAATTCAGTTTAATATGGCTTCTTGTGTGGCACACACAAGATAGTACTTTAGTTTTGCTGAGTAAAATACGTGCAGCCATACAGTTTGTAAATGTAGCTAGCTAACCATGCTTTCCAGCCTTAGCTGATAACTTAGCACTCTGCCATAAGAACAAAATGGCAGCGGCTAAAATGCTAGCACAGAAGCTTTGAAGTCCAAAAACGTCCACCACAAAAAAAAGACTTTTTGTTTGTTATGTTTTTTTGGTCCCATCAATGCAAAGCAACACTGCACAACTGTCAGCTGACTGTCATGCATTTCATTAAGCTGCAAAAACAAAACACAAAGTTGTTCCTCTTTTCCGCAGGATATGTAATATACTCCCTGAAATTACATACTGAGGAAAACAGTAGGCCAGCCACAGGCGATCATGTGAAACAAATGCCATACGAGTGCGCAAAAAAAGTGCTGTCCTGAAGCTCTGCCCTGCAAACCTGAGCAGATGGTCTGGGTGAGTCAGACAGGTTGGAGGGCAGCCCAGTGGTGGGGGTGGCACCCCTCTCCCCTTAGCTGGGTTAGTGCACTGGGGGGTGGGGGGGCGCAGGGACATTCCCTAGGGGGGTGTTGGCAAGTCTGCTCACCAGATGACATCTCATCCCAGTATTGATCTTTTTATAGTTGTTCTCGTGGAGTTGCTTACTCGAGGGAATTGGGCCTCGCCCTGTGTGCACGTGCCTCAGTGTGCTATACCGTGGGTTGGGGAGTGGAAGGGGTGGAGCGTAGGGATGCAGGGACTAAGGTAGCAGACGGACAACAAGCCACTGGGATTTGTTGGTAATAACTGATGTGTCCAGAGGGGAATCTGAGGTGAACATGGTGTCGCTACACAGCTGTTCCTGCCTTCGATACCCTTAACTTGTGACCCTGTGTGTCCCTATGGAACATCTGGAGAGCTGTCACTGATCTGGTCCTCTGTGGCCTTTACGCAGCCAGATGGCCCAGATTGGAATTGCTTGGCCCTTAGCTGGACTGTGGCTTGCTGGTGCATGGCATACTCCCCGTGAGCAAGAGATTCCTTTAAGGTGTCTTGGCACTAGAAACCCAGAAGAAAAGCCTTGCACACATTTCCTCATCTTTAGAAATCATTTACTTTGAAGCTTGTTTAACTACTTTATTTTAAATACACACCTGGCTACCTGCAAATGGCCCCTGCAACCTCATGAATGAAACAAGGGCTCTAGAGAAAATTCTCATTTGGTTTCCAACTAAAACCCTCAGCAAGCTAATGCTGTGCATGCAAATGAGTGTGTTACATAAATTACCTGCTCACGGCTGACACTGATACCAGTATATACAACAGCCAGGGAAACAGAACCTGTATGCAAAAAGCCCTTTCAGATTAGATACGAGAATATGCAAAGTATCCCAATGATAAGGGGATGTCGGGGGCTTAGGGCCACTGGGTGTTCTCATTTACTAGGCAAACACTGCGGTTCACTCCCTTCATGGCTTTGCCAAAGCATAAACAGTCAGGGCAGTGATAAAATAAGGACATGAACAGACAGATATTTAAATAAAGCAGCATATCCGCCGAAAGACGTTGGAGGTTGCAGACAGTATGTGAGGATGCATACTGCCTTGATGCGTCTCCCGCTGGCTTTGGCTGACAGGATATTCTGCTGCTCTTGACGGTTGAGCTCACAATGATTTGGTTTTTGTACCTCTCTAGACAAGCAATCTGCACAGAGCCAAGGCTTAGCTCATGAGTGAGTGACTGTGGAAGATGGCTATAACAGATACTGGCGGAAGGCAGGAAACCGCAGTCTTGCCAATCAACACTTCGTTGCCGTGAGGTATTCAGTCATAGGAAACAGGCGGGGTGATTTCAACAAAATGATTTTGTACGAGAGGAACAGAAGGGCTGAGCAGTGTTGAATCATTGTGCTAATAATAAAATCATAGGAGAAATTTGCAACGGCTTGCTTTGCCTCACACTATTTAATCTGCCTCGAGCATCTCCAAACTGGTAACGAGGGGAGCCAAGGCGACATTTTTGCAAATCTCTGGGACATGTAAATGGGGGGGTGGAGGGTGGGTGTAAGAGGAGAAAGCTGGCCAAGATAGCTAAAGAGTGGGGACAGCTGACACGTTTCAATTATTTCTCTCTGTCTCTTTGCCGCGGCTCACCAAGGAGTGAATGGCACCAGAATGGGGATGGGTGTTAAGCTGTAACACGTTTACAGTCAAAGCACAGGCATAAATCGACAACCTAATGTTCATTTCACAGAGCTGGCAGCTCAAACTGAGAGATGAATCAGTTTTTCCTGCGCATATCACATCCCAATTCAATCTCGAGCCATATGGTGCAGGACACATATGCCAGTCATCCCTTATGGCACATATGCCATCGTTGTGGATGCGAGGCAAACGAGTACATCTTTAAATTGGAGGGAAAAGAGTGAGTGTGGAAACAACAGAGGTTGAGATGTTGACTGTCTAAACCCTTTTATATCATGCACGGTCCAGCGGAGCTCCAAAAGCAATGTTAAACTGTCATTAACCCCTGGCTATAATGTGTTGCTGCAAAGCAAGGCGTCTCCACGCTCGCACTTCCTTTTCTGTCAGGATCCTCCCTCCCCCAAGATGTGTCTAGCAGAGCTCATGTGCTTTGGGAAAGCCATCAGTCTCAGCTCCTTATGAACACTGCTGGGTCATCTAAGGTCAGTGCCACTGGGCTCTCCGAAATAAAAGGGTAGACATCTTGGAACTTTCAACAGAAAAACTCAAGTCTAATGGCTCCTCTGACACGGCCCACCCTGCCAGCCTAAAATCTGACCCCTTTCACTGTCACTGACCCATCCCCAACCTCTGTGACCCCTTTTCC